TTTTTATATTTTAAAATGTAAAGATAATAATTAATTATTTTATTACAACTCAATAATTATCCTAATTATATTTTAGAATTTTTATATTTTAAAATGATATTTTATCCTCTATTTGATTATGTTTATCTGCAGTTAGTTACACAAATTCAAATATAAAGCTGTAATAAGTTATACTTATGCATAATTTACTTCTAATCTTGAATTTTAAATAATATGTATCAATATACAGTACTCCATGCATAAAAAATGATTTTAAAGAGTTTTTGTCAAATGTTTTATAATATAGTATGGATATATATAATTTTAAAATAAAAAAAATCATGTATTAAAAATATAAAAAGTAAATATGATGTTGACATGTGTGAGAAGAAAATTAATAAAATCCACCCCTAACAAATCATTAAAATTAAAACTTGTAGTGGTTTTATTTTGGAAAAAACCTTTCAAATATTATAAATGATTTTCGTTTTGTCAAAAATACGATATCTATTGACAAAGTTCTTACATTGGATTATTTATTCATTCATTTTTATCACAATAAACTATCAATATATATATATATATATAGATAGATATATATATATATATATATATTTATATACATCCAACTACTTGAAAACGAAAAGCCAATGGAAATGTGGTAAATAATCTTGATATTAAGTCATCTAATGAAACATGTGGTCGATGATCATTTAGTAATAGATATAAAGTAGAAATATCAAACCGGTAGAGCAATAAATGACATAATGGTTCACTCTTGAATCTTGATTTGCAAAAACATCAAATCCAATCCAATGCTTTGTTTTGTGATTTCTAGCAAACGGATCGATTTTGTTCAATTTGATCCGTTTGCAATTTTCGCTTTTGATTTTAAAAAAAATTTAAAACCAATTAATTGAATGGAATTTAGTTTATTATTCTAATAAAATATTCATATTAGACTTTTTAAGTTTGATGATTTGGTTTGGAATTCAAAGTGATTGTCATGAGACCCCACAAATTGCAGTCATGAAATAGACACCATGGGAACCAAACAGACGATAGAAACAAGATCTTTTATTTAAGTTTTGGACTTTTAGGTGACCCTTGCAATTTCACAAGTCCAATTGTTGCGATAATCGAGGAGGACAACGAAACCCGATAACATGATGTATTACAGGTTTTATGCTTCGATTTGGTTTGGTAACGTAAAGTTTGTTCGTATCATACAAAAGGTATGTTTGTTACGCTATCATTACAATTCAATAACGTAAAGTTTGTTCATATCATACGAAGGATAAGTTTGTTGATAACATGTTCGATCAGGTATGTTTGTGGTAGGGCTGTTTGATTTGTAGGATTCGGTGAAATTTGGAATTAAATTACATTTTAATTTCGCGTTTAACTTAAAAGAAAGTCTAGAATTGAAGTTCCGAGATTTCAATGAAATCTAATCTCATGGGGTAGTTAGTATTTCGCACAATTTCATAAGATTTGGTTGTAATAACGTTTTCAAATATATTGAAAACACTTGTTTCATGATAATTAATTAATAAAAAATTAATTTAATTAATTTCATATTTTTTATACTTGGTTTTATAAATAGGCCTCCATATTTAGAGTTCAATAAAATGCCAATATTTTAATATTATAATAAGATTTTATAGTGTTATATATATATATATATACACACTTGGGATTATGTGAGACCAATGTTTTTTTCGTGAGACCCGTAAGACCAATTCTCAATCTTTGGATTAGATTTACAATATGACAATCTAAACATTCATAAACGCCACGATACTTCTCAATAATCATAAAATTGTCACCGTGTAGTTTAGATTATTAATTTATAAAGTTGATCAATGTAAACTTATAAAGTTGATCAATGCACATAAATTGGTCTTACGGACCTCATGAAAAACTCTTGGTCTCACGTGAACCTAACCCTATATATGTGTGTATATATATATATATATATATATGCATATTATTTTACTATTACTTTAATATTAAAGATGTTTTAGTGTTTTTGTAATGTAAGGTTGGAATCAAAGTTCTAAATAGGGTGAGGCATGACATGACGGCAAAGTCAAACCACAAAGCCTTGGAAGCCACAATGAAGTCGTGGCGTTTTTAAAACATGATTTATAACCGCAAATCTCTATATCATGTATAAAATTATATACATAAATGTATGTTTTCTACTATTACTCAATAAATCAATGATACTAAGCAATTTAAATTAGATTATATAGACTAACAAATAAGACATTAAAATAATAAGTAAAAATCTAATATCGTGCAATAAAAACCGTGCATTACACCGTTGCGTGTTCCAGTTATAACGTGGCATAAGACACAAGTCTTGAGCTACTACACGTCATGACGACGGTTGCAGCAAGTTTTTTCGAACATTGGCTGGAATTGGCTTTTTTTGTGTTCGAAGGACTTTAACAATTTTAGTATTTTTAATGTTTTTTGTTTTATTGGTTGGGTTGAAGAGGGTGAGGAGGGAAATAGGATTTGAAGAGTGTAGATTTATATTTACGCTTTGAGATGGACTTGTGAAGGCTGGAGTGACAAAATAAAAGCATCTTCAAACAACTTCACTTTTTTTTTTTTGAATGAATTTACGCGCATCAACTGCAACACCAACAAAAGACTTGAAACAAACCTTCTCCAACTCTCCCACCATTTCAACTCCACTTCCCTCCCATTCCTCTCTCTCTCTCTAACTCCACCATATCAATCGATGTCTACCCTTTAAACTCACTCCCTAACTTCCTTCAAAAACATCCCTCTGAAATCCATGAAAACAAAAACTACAACTACTTCTTCTACCTGCAAAAAATGAATCTTTTCTTGCTTTTCATCAAAACACTGCTACTTGCCACCATCTTCACTGTTTCACAATCGGCAAACTGCAATAACACGAACCATCTTCTTATCTCCAAAGCCTTCACTTCTCTTTCGAATTTCAACTCTTCTTGGTTCACCTGTTCAGACTCACCAATCTCTGAGATTAATCTGTCATCGAGAAACCTTTCTGGTACTCTCTCATGGAAGTTCTTCAAGAACTTAACTCACATTCACACCATTAACCTCTCCAACAACTCTATTAAAGGTTACATACCAACTTGGTTTTGGTCAATTCCAGGTCTGATTCAAGTCAATCTGTCCAAGAACAAGCTTGGAGGTACAATCGGGTTTGAATCTGGGTCGGGTTTATCTTCGATTCAAGTTCTTGATCTTTCCTTTAATAGGTTCACGAATCTAGCTCATCTCTCCAATTTCTCTAACCTCTCTCTTCTTGATATCTCTCATAATAACCTAGAGGTTTTACCTTTCGGTTTAGATTCTTTGAAGAAACTTCAGCATCTTGATCTTTCAAGCTGTAATATCTCAGGTGATTCAAAACCCATCTCGTATCTGAGCTCATTGGAATACTTGGATGTTTCAGACAATCATATGAGTGGCACATTTCCCAATGATTTCCCTTCACTTTCCACCATAAATTTCTTGAATATCTCGTTCAATAATTTCACTGGCTCATTGCCATACGATAAAGTTCAAAGATTTGGGAATTCTTCTTTCATCAACGCTGGAATGTTGTTCAAAATCTCCAACTTTTCACTGAATCGTACGGTCCATCATACCCCAAAGAAATCACACATCAACCCACACAATATCCACTCTAGTACACACAGTAACCCTAAAAATCCCAAACCCATGAAGAAAAATCAAAAACCCAGTTCAAGAAAGAGATTAATTTTGATCTTAATCATATCTTTAGCATCATTGGTGGTATTATTAGCGATGGCTGTGTCCATATATTGTATATTTAGGAAGAGAAAGATGGCAAAAAGAAACAAATGGGCAATTTCCAAGCCGGTTCACCAACACCAACCGTTCAAGATCGAAAAATCCGGTCCGTTTGCGTTTGAGACGGAGTCCGGTTCTTCATGGGTGGTTGACGTTCGGGAACCTTCGTCGGCGGCGGTGGTGATGTTTGAGAAGCCATTGATGAGTTTCACTTTCAAGGACTTGATGGCTGCCACGTCACAGTTTGGGAAAGAGTCCTTGCTGGCAGAAGGAAGGTGTGGGCCCGTATACCGAGCTGTACTGCCAGGTGAGATCCACGTGGCAGTCAAAGTCTTGGAGAATGCTCGAGGGATGAGCCATGATGATGCTGTGTGCATGTTTGAAGACCTCTCAAAGCTGAAACATCCAAACTTGCTGCCCATTTCCGGTTACTGTATTGCAGGTTAGTTTCGTCTTTTCACATCTACTTCCTTAGTTCCAAACCAGTAATTGCCAAATTCCCAACAACACTCCTATAATCACTACATACCCGTGCATTAAAAATTATACCTTGCTCTGGAATTGTAAATCTTGGGTCTGGAAAATAAGCTAACCCATTCGCAATGAATAACAAAGCATTGTACAAGTTGTACCATATCATACATTGCATAAAGTACAAGCTATAATGCATGATGTACAAGTGGGAAAGACCCTCCCCTTTTTTGGGGGGGTTTTATGCTATATTAGTAGGTTTTGATTATTTAGGCTATCTAGTAGTATGCTTGATTGAGAAAATTACCAATTGGTCCAGAGGTTTCAATTTTGTCCAACTTTTTTCAAAGTCAAAACAGATCATGTGAATGGTAGAAGATATGGGCAGAGATGGAAAGTTGGTCAGAACATATGCAATAAACAACAGGTTTTTAATCCAAATACTTCCAAAAATCAATCATGATTTCGAAATTTGAGCTTTTTTAAACAAGAATTTTGGGTAATTTTATGTATTTTGTTCAATAATTTTTTGTATTTGTTCTTATTCATTTGTGAAGTAGCATACGGTATAAATGTCTGAGAACTGTTATCGTGTTATTAATGTGTTTGGTGAGACTGGTACAAGAAGGGTGAATTCATTTATTAAAATTAAATGACTTACCAACTACTTTTGATATTATTTTTTTAGGAAAAATTTATTAAAATAGTAAATTTTTAGAGTTGGTTTTACCTCTTAGCCATTTTCTTTTCAAGTTTAATAAAATAGCAATAGGTCTACAAAACCCATGTCTGTAATTACGGATTCAGCTAAAAGATAAAAATAAATTACACTTTCTATCTTTGTTTGTAAAAAGAATTACATTTTTCATGGAGGTCTGAAAAAAAAATTAAATTTCTTTATTTTAATTAATTTCTCTATCTCTAGAGCTATTTAATTTAGTAATTATTTTGGTATGGATGTTTATTAAATTATTATTTTTCCAGAAATATTTATAGTCATGCATAATTTCATAGGTCATTTAGTACGTTTGTCGGTATTTATTGCGTTTTGCATGATTAGGGACGCAATCTAAACATATAAATTCCAATTTTAAACATATATTTATTATTATATAAATGGGTTTTTTTATTAATTTTGTTGTGTTAAAAATAATTACTAAAATATTTTTTAATTAAATGTATGCAGGTAAGGAAAAGTTGGTGTTGTACGAGTTTATGGCCAACGGTGATCTCCACCGGTGGCTGCAGGAGCTTCCAACCGGCAAAACTGACGTGGAAGACTGGAGCACTGACACGTGGGAGTATCCGGTTGATTCCTCATCACCGGAAAAAATGGAATGGCGGACACGTCACAAGATCGCTATCGGAATAGCTCGTGGACTAGCATATCTCCATCATGCCCAATCCGTACCAGTGGTGCATGGCCACCTCGTTCCCTCCAACATCCTTCTATCGGATTATCTAGACCCCCGAATCGCCGGCATCGGACTGAGTCGCAACCGAGTCGAAACACAAACCACCGATTCCGACGTGTACAGTTTCGGAGCTGTGTTGATCGAGTTGTTGACGGGCGAAACAGGGTCGGAAGAAACGGTGGTGAAAACGAGGAAACTGGTTAGGGAAGGACGAGGTGTGGACGCGTTGGACTCAAGACTGAGACTGGGTGACAACTCAGTGAGTGAGATGGTGGAGTGCCTCCGAGTTGGGTACCTGTGCACGGCGGAGACGCCTGGGAAAAGACCCACGATGCAGCAGGTTTTAGGCATGCTGAAAGACATACATCCAATCACGGCGGAGCTAAGCTGACGGACTTTTTGCCTCTCTTTGTTTTTTTCTTCCTATTTTCTTATAACTTGTATTGAGGAAATCCAGAGGTTTAATTACTAAATCCAGAAGGTTTGTATTTTGGTGGGTTGTACATCTTGCATTTAAAGCTGTACGTGTTTCTGGATCTGGTGTTTTTTTGAGTGGTTGCTTTCAAATGTGTACATACTTGGCATTTTATAAAAGTCCAACTTCCCATGTACCATAAAAACTGCATACCGTATAAGTGGGTGATGCAATATGTGCTATCTTCACTCACTCACTCACGTGACACCCACATGTTTGGAATATAAAATTATATGATGGATTTAAAAATAAAAATAAAATAAAGAGAAAATAGACAAATAAAAGTGGGGGAAGGTGTGAGTGAGGGAAATCCCACTAAGTATTTGTCCCTTGTACATTGTTTTACATCACCAATGCCCCCTTTCTCTTTATTAATTATTAATTATTAATTAATATTTTCCTCCATTCTTTTCTGTTTCTTCTTTTTAGGCGTATTCCAATGCCTTTATTCCTTTTTTCATCCTTTATTTACTCCTCTTATTATCTTGTATTTTTTTTAAATTATATACGAATAAAGTTGTTTAAATATTTTAATTACGACATAAAAATTGTTTCTAATCATGATCAAACCATGCTTATTTAAGGATTTAATATCATTCTGTTTTGTTTTTTATTCATGACTCATTTTGAATTCAACTCGGCCATTACAGTAGATTCGGTATTAATTAATAAGTTACCTATTAATTGAAAAACAAATAACTTAGTTATTAGTTGAAAAATGAGGACTTAATAATAAGTTAGTCGTTAACTAACAAACATAGCCGTTTCTAAGGGAGGGCGGATCGAGCGTACGTCCAGGGCCCACAAAAATTAGGGGCTGAATTAGTAAATAGAAAAAAACATAAAATAGTTAGTATCTAATAGTACCATAATTTTTTTTAGTACTACATTAACTATTAAAGGCCTAAACATGTATTAAATAAATATATACTAGAGAAGAAAATACATAAAAGAGTTAATTTGTTGTTCATTATATGATATTGTTTAATGTTTCTCAAGGTTTTTTTTTTTATCTAATACCGACGTCTAAAACTACTTGCCTCGAAAACTTTCAAAAGATGGGTTTTTTTCTATCTAATATCGACTCTTTTGTTTATTCCATCCCGCATGAATTCTAAATTTGTATTATAATATAATAGATTTTCTTGTTATTAACCCTAACGCTATTTTCTTGTTAAAGGCCTATTTCTGACATTTTTTTTATCTTATATCGACTCTTTTGATTAACCCTAACGCTATGTTCTTAAGTTTACTTTTATGAAGGAAAGAAAGGATAATAATGGGGGAAGAAAAAATATTATGTTCACCAAAATTTTTTAGAAAAAGGAAAAGAAAAAAAGAAATTAAATCAAAATTTATTTTTATTTCATTATTTTTTTTCTCTCTCTTCTCTAAAAAAACGAATAAAAAACCTTATTCTTTTCCTTTCTCATTTTCTTCTTTCCTTCCCAAATTCGAGAACATGGTATAAAAGTTTAAAATAATGTTAAAAAACATCAACATGAGGTGACATAGAAAATCAACCTATTTACATTGATTTACATAATGTTATTCGGAATTCAAAAAAATTAACACTGTGACCCTAAATGATGTCATTCTATGTACCAAAAATATATCATAAGATATTTTTGATGACGGAACAAATTGATGCTACATAAAAATGTTCTGGTATGTAATATTAATCTAGATATGATTATTGATTGATTTTGCATTTAAAAATACTCGAAAAAATGGTTTTATATGAATTCAATGTCATTTCTGATGATAAAAACAATATATTAAAAAAATATCGTACTTACCGAAGACCCTTTTTCATATCTAAACCAAGGCCTAAAAAATATCAGAAATAAGTGTGCTAATAAACTAGTCCTGTATAAAGTTGCGAAACGTGAGTTTTAGGTGTTATGTGAGAAGATTAATTATATGCACCTACTTCATGAAGAAAACAACATGAAACACAACAAGTTTTGTGCCCATCCATCCACCTTTATTTCACCTATTCTTTGTCTTTCCTCCTTGTTTTCTTTGCCCATTCCCACATATTCATATTCCTCTCCATTCTAATTATTGCTTCTTTATTATTTTTATATAAAATGACTGATTCTGAATTATATTAATATAAAAACAACTGAGTGTTTGATAACCGTGTTCAAATCATTTAATTCTTGTTGTATAGATTCTTTTTGTTTTGTATTTTCCTGTAAGATCGATGGTTTTATGTCCACATAACAAGTTGGTTATAGAAGTGGTGCCCATGTTTCCGGAACATTTAGAAAATACGTTAGGTTGTTAGATATTGGACGGTGCTAAAACCAGTAAAAGTCAATTTGCAAACGTTATTGGAGTTTGGTTGAGGTGAGACCTAAGATGTCGGTTGATTGGAACCTCAGATGAACATACAAAAAACAACAAAAAAATAAATTAAATGCTTAGAAGGTAAAACAAGTAAACGTGTTAACTACAAGGAATGGATTTTAATATAATACAAGTGTAACACTTGAAAACGTGTAAAAAGGATTATGATATGCTCTGGTCGTACCTTGTGCAGGGCCAGCCCTGGCCATAGGCCCAAGGGGCGACGGCCCAGGGCAGCATAAAGCCCAAGGGCAGCAAAATCCTAAAGCCCAATGTATATGTATAGGTTCAGTTTTTAATTGGGCCTAAAAATATTACTGTTAGTCACTTCGTCTTAGTCCGTTACCACCAGTCGGCAGTCCAATAGTCCATGTCCATCATCTCCCTCTCGACGCTCGCCTTGCTCAGTTATTGTGTTGCTCACTCTCAATAGAAATCGATTTTCTTGTATCGCTCTCGCTCGACCTCTCACTCTCGCTCGACCTCTCGCTCGACGCTCTTGACTATCGACGGCCGTCTGCCGGTCTGCGCCTGCGACTGCCTCTCTCGTCGCTGGTCGATATCGCTCTCCGGCCTCCGCCCTTCGCCAATCGCCACTCGCCCGTCGCCCTCTCTGGCTCTCTTGTGACTACTGAGTACTGACTTGTTGAGGACTTGACACTTGAGGTTAGGGATTTAATATTTAAGTCTTTAACTTAGGGTTATTAACTTATTATATTACTTATTTTATTTCCTTTACTTATTTTTAATTTTGTTTGATTGGAAAACCTAATAATGAAACTAGCTTAGAAGCTGTGATTCTGTGATTGTGAAATTCATATTTCAGAAATTGGTGACTTGCTTTGTTGGACTATTTTAATTTGTTTGACTCACTGATTGTTTTTGTTTCACTTGTTACAACTTACAAACCAGTGAAACCACAAAATTAGAATTTAGTCTGTATGTATAATGTTAATGTATCATGTATGCCTAAATCCTAATTGAAATTCATGTCTTTTGCTGCCATTTGTTAATTGTTGGGTGGTTGACTGTTAATTGTACATACTGTATCATGTATTATAATGTCCTTTGTGGTTTGTCATTTATGTTTCTAAGTGTAGAAGGCCTGAGTCTTTGGTTAATGGTGAGCTTTCAAAATGTGATTTATGTTTCTATTGTTATTAATTGATCTAGTTGTTCATCGAATCAATCAAGCCTATCTCCGAAGTTTTAGTTTTCGTTATGTGATTAATATTCAAGTTATCATCCACCAATATTTGTTCTAATCCCATTAGATTTTGATGTATATTAACACAATTTCAGCAACTATAATATAGTTGAATAGACTTATAAATGTGCAGTAGTTAAGTGCTGATTTGCCCTCACTTGAATGTGCAGTAACTAATTCACTTGATTATTCTCCCTTAACTTTGCAATTTTACATATGAAACTCATGATTGTCATTGGTCAAGACCCTAAATATGATTATATGAAACACATGATGGACTAATGGAGTCATGCAATAGCTAATTTCATAGGCAAACACCTTAAGTGACTAAAACTAGTAGGACAAAATTAGTGAAGTAGGAATGGGCCATTGATGTTGTAGAGTGTAAATAATTGAAGAAGAACCAACCAATTAAGTGTTTAGAGTTGGATTAAGAAGGTACGAGTGTTGCTTTTGGTTTATATAGAAGACGTGGGATGTAGTCAATGAGACAAGTAGATGAGTTAGTGTTTAAACACAAGGGCTATAACAACTTGATTAAAGAAACCTTAATATATTACTTTAAAGTAAACACTCAACTATATGATCACACTTATGAACAAAAAACACTAATGGATCTCTCGGTCTATGAAGGAAAAAGCTAGACAATTGTAAATTACYACACTTGGATGTTTTTAATTGGGCATCATTTGGACTTTTCGCCGTGGGCACCAAAAATCTCAGGACCGGCCCTGACCTTGTGCAAAAAGTGTTGAGGTTCTTCCTCTTACTTTTTCTCTAAGACGCGATGTTCAAATGCCAGGTTTGGTCAGTTTAGTTGGAGTTATTAACAACTATAGTCTTGATGTTTATAAGGTCGATTTGTTTATAGTCTTCTGTGTTCCTTTTCTAAGCATCTTATTTATTAGATCAATTGCTTATACCTCCTTTGTCACTTGATCATACACAATGAGCAATGGTGCTCTTTCTGAAAAATTTTAAGAAACTAAATCAGCTAACTGATTTTTGTTGTTACAATGGTCGTTCACAACAATAGTATTATGCTATATGAGTATGTGAAGTTGTGTGTGATGGTTCTATTTATCCTTCGATATGACTCTTTATTTTATGTAGTTGTGATCTTCGTTCTTGACCTACATGGAATTCTAATAGTAAAAAGTATTTAGGTCATGTTTAGTTTGTAGGATTGGATAGGATTTGGAATTCAATTCTATTCTATTCAAATATCATGTTTGGTTTGAAAGATTGTTTGTATTTGAAATCCCACAAACATAGGATTTAGAAATCTCATGGGTGTTGTTGGTACGTATTTCATGGGATTTCTTAGGATTTATGTGTAATAATGTTTTAAAAACATTTCTCTTAAAATAATTCAAATCTAAATTCTTCTACAAAATCTAAATCCTTCAAAATCATGCCACCAAACCAAACGCCTTCTTAGATATTTGGATTTAGCTTGTTGATTTGAATGCGTCATCAACCATACGAGCGAGTTGAAGCTCTTGGGGGTAGCTCAACTCAATAGCAATGTCAATG